CATCAGAATCAGCATCATCATCAGCATCAGCATCAGCATCATCATCATCATCATCATCATCATCATCACTATCATCATCATCAGCAGCATCAGCATCAGCATCAGCATCAGCATCATTATCATCATCACCAGCATCATCATCATCAGCATCATCAACTCATCATCATCGTCATCATCATCATCACCATCATCATCATCATCATCCTCATCATACGCATCATCATCATCATCATCATCATGATCACAACCACCACCATCAGCATCATCATCAACATCATCATCATTATCCGTATCATCATCATCAGCATCATCAGCATCATCATCAGTATCATCATCACCAGCATCATCATCAGCATCATCCTCATCAGCATCAGCATCAGCATCAGCGGCATCATCATCATCATCATCCTCGTCGTCATCATCATCATCAGCACCATCACCATCAAAAGCATCATCATCAACAGCAGCTGAATCAGCATCAGCACCAGCATCAGCATCAGCAGCATCAGCAGCATCAGCAGCATCAGCAGCATCAGCAGCATCAGCAGCATCAGCAGCATCAGCATCGTCACCATCATCATCGTCATCATCATAGCCATCATCATCATTACCATCAGCATAGTCATCATCATCATCATCATCATCATCATCATCATCGTCACCGCCACCATCACCATCAGCATCAACCCCATCATCACCATCATCACCATCACCATCACCACCACTATCATCAACATCGTCGTCGTCGTTATCATCATCACCATCACCATCACCATCACCACCACCATCATCATCACCAGTATCATCAGCAGCATCATCATTATCATAATCATCATCATCATCATCAGCATCACAATACATAATCATCATCAGCACCATCATCAACTCATCATCATCATCATCAGCATCATCACCATCATCACCGTCATCATCATGATCACCACCACCACCATCATCATCATGATTATCAGCATCATCGCCGTTGCCGTGGCAATTGCCGCCGACGTCGTCGTCGTCGTCCATCTCCTCCTCCTCCTCCTCTTCATCATCCACAGCATCCACATTATTATTGTCCTCATCCCCATCCTCCTCCTCCTCGTCATCATCATCGACCATCATCAGCAAACTCATCATCATCATCATCATCATCATCATCATCATCATCATCATCATCATCATCATCATCATCATCATCATCACCATGATCAGCATCATCATCAGCATCATCATCATCATCAGCATCATCATCACCATCATCATCATCATCATCGTCATCGTCATCGTCATCGTCATCACCATCACCAACATTGTCGTCGTAGTACCATCAGCATCAGCATCCGCATCAACAACCGTGTCCTCCAAAGCATCACAAGATTCCTGTTCCTCGTGCTGGTGTTCCTGCTCCTCCTCTCAGTTGTCGTCACGCTCGTGATCTGCGCCCGTCATTCTTCATACTCATCCGATCTCACTCCTCCCCATCACTCTTTCTGCACCATTGCCAGGTCAGTTCTGGAATCAGCTGAGAAACAGGGCTACAGATTCGCATCAACAAGCTTCACATCGATATGTTGGTCCATCATGGCGCCAGAAAGCTCAGCAATGATCGAAGTTGAAAACTGTGGTGGCTGGGCTCGCCAGATCCAAATAAATAGATGTACCCGGCACGACTTCAACTAGGGAAAACTTCCTATTGAATGAGCGCAGTGCTTGGCATTGCTTCGCATTTCTTGGCATTGCTTCGCATCGCTAAGAATACGAGGCACAGGGGTCGGGGAACCCGAGGAACCTCCGAGGAACGGGCAACGTAACAATAGGAAGCACCGGGGGCGGGGAACCCGAGGAACCCGGGAAACCCGAGGAACCTCCGAGGCATGGGCAACGTAACAATAGGAGGCATCGGGGGCGGGGGAACCCGAGAACCCCGAGGAACACGAGGAACCTCCGAGCAACGGGCAACGTAAGAATACGAGGCAGCAACCATTAACCAAGTAAGAACCCCTTAGGAAAGCCTAATTGCGGAAAGAGTGATTGCAGCAAGTGGAACATCTGGATACGGGGCGCCGCGTTGTTGAAGCTGGCTGGCATTGAGTACTCCTACACAGGTGGCGAGAGCGAGGCTAGTCCGTTCGCGGCTCCTGCGAGCCACGTCGGACACCTTTCGACCGCCGAGGATCTGGCGACTGCCAGTGGAAAAATGGGGTGAGGCCCCTCCTCCTCCACCTCTTCTTCCTGCTCCCGCCGCTCTACGCCCTGTCTTTGCACAGGCCTGCCAGGTGCAAGCGTGCGGATGGCCGGCCACGACAGCCACCATTCGCCACTCCCCTCATCTCCAAGATTGGCACACCCTTAAACAAAGATTTGGCTGTGTGGTGCGGGGCGGTTACGTATAAACAGCTTCGTACCCTTGACAAGCCATGCGCCACACGAACGAAAACGGGTGAGCTTAAATCGAGCGCACAAGACATGGGCGAACTCTGGAAGTTCTCAGCAAAACTGGTCA